GGATGGATGGATGGATTGATGATTGATGGGTGGATGGATGGTGGAAGGATTGTGAATGGATGGATAATTCACTCAGGGTTTTATCACTTTCATGGTTTTCTGGGAGTTTAACCCAAATCAGCCCCAAAAGCTGCTTCTCCATGATTGGTTCTGGTTCTGCAGAGAGTAGATTTAAACTAGAAGACCTGAGGTGTCTGGGTGGTTGATACTCTGACAAAAAGTCTGTAATATATCCTGGTGCTAAATCATTCAGTGATGTTAGACTAACAGAAGTATTTTAAACTCTGTTCTCTGAAAGCAAAGGGCCCTAATATGGATCCATTGGGAACCAACCAGCTTTACCACAATGGTTTACCCAGTTTTCCCAATTAAAATAACTTCACTTTAAAGGAGGCAGTTGATTTGTATTTAATGGAGACTGTAGTTTATTGTATTGCCATCTGTGTTTTCCTGCCGTTGACCTGCCGTGGTTGGGGGTATAGAGAGGGTGTGAAAACTTTCTTGTAAATTAAAGGGGGAAAGTTAGGGAACCACTGCTCCAATCCGTGCAATCTCAGTTTGTATTGTGTCAAAAGATGGACACTTTCATGGCTACTTTTTAATAGGGGGTGCAGGCTGATAGATTTCCTCTGATCTGAGTCGACCTATTGGTCCTGGTCCATCCAGCTCCTGTGAGGTAGATCTCTGTCCTGACCTCTCAGCGGTCATCGGAGCCATACTGACAAAAACCTAAATGCCACAACTATCATTCTTGCTCTTAATTAAACTCTGCATTACAGCAAGAAAATATGTGGCGTGTTTGTGTGAAATCATGAAGGTCACCGGTGTTTGTTTACGCTCCCTGTACCCAAGCTAGAGGGGCTTCTGCAGCTGGAGCCTTTCATTAGACGTGACACATGTGGCCAAGGGCGGCCCTTTCTGCTCCTTATTGCTGGCCAGCGGGGGGGAGGATATGCAAAGAAGCTGAGATCTGTGTTGCTGGAAAGTACCGGCATCGTACAGAAACTAAAACATATGTGTTTAAGATGACAGGCAAGGTAAGACTACTGGGTTTCCAGGTGGTTTAATGCATCAAGAAAGACAAGGCATAGAGTGTTAAGAAGAGTCCAAATTGCCTCCTATGTGCGGCACATCTTTATTACCAAACTTCGAGTTCTGTGTTCTTGGACCAAAGGATTTATGTCAGCTGGTTAATAACTAAACAACCGTGAAAGGAAAAGCAGTCCTGGAATGGAGGAGCTGTAATCTCACTGAAATGTGTTTAATCTCAAGGAGGGGAGGTAATCTGTTGAGATGGGCTCACAGAGGCAGCCCATTTATGCAGAAAGACTGTTTCTATTTTAGTGAAGTGCCACCCTGCAGGATGTATTAATCCTGGTTGTGTGGGTGTGTTTGTGCATGTGTGCCGTTCAGGTTCGCAGACACAGAAACAGAGCTGCATATCAGGGATGTTTGCAGTGGAGGAAAGTCTTAGCTGGAAGAGGACGGTGATGGGGCGGACAAGGTGGACATGAAAGGTGTCGGATTGAAGGCAGGATGGATTAGAAAACTCCTGCTATAGATCTTAAACCTTACAGAAGCAACAAGGGCCGCTGAAAAAAAAATCCTTTTCTTTTATTGCAGACGTTTAATCATTCATTAAAAAAATCTATAAAAAATTTTATCCTTCAATTACATTTTTTTCATTCACTATGTTTGTATTTGCCTAGAGCGAAAAACCAAAAGTAAACGTTGCAAAGGACAATTTGTCTCTTATTCAAAATGAAGAAAGGAATAACTAAAAGCCAAGGATCGTGAAACTCTTTTCTAACAGGACTGAACCTTATAGAGTTAATTTTATTTTACTATTGTTGCAAATAAAGAAAACAATATATAAACAATAAAAAATAGCTATCCAGGAATGAAACTTCTCTATTTTCAAATGTTATATCACCAAAGTTTATTATTTCCAAATATTTTACAGATACCTGGTTTTATTGTTTAATTTTATTTTTAAAATTTTTTTATTTTAAATATAATAAATATTTTAAATATTCTAAAAATTAAAAACTTAATTTTAAGTTCTTTTATATTAAAAATTTAAAGGGGAAGACTGTTTTTTTTTACATTGGGCCCTTGATTTTGCGTTATTCCATCATGTTCTACTCACCCTTATTAGTTTTGTGTCATGTGGAGCCGTTCTGAAGATATTCAGTAGGTTATATCCAAGTAAGGTCTTCCTATGGGCAACGACTTGAAGGCACAAACTAAACTGTTCATAATTTATTCTTTATGGTACACCAGCATTCAGAACATGTAGGCGAATTACTGTCCCCCAGACATCCGCGGTTATATTTTTTATATTTCTAGCTTTTAAAAACAAAGTGGAGTGTGTATGACGTCATCCGTGCGCCGGCTACCGTTCATTCATCCTGTTCGCTGAACTGCTGCTAGTTTTCCTCACATGCCTCTAAGATGTCTAGTGCTGCTACCACAGATGATCTCACTCTCCAAATGGAATCGAACAATTCAGATTAGCTAGCCGAATGAATAGAAGCGGTAGAGAGTAGCCGCCTGTGCCGCCTGTGGCCCGGGCTGCTTTACACAACTCCAGTCCGACGCACGGATGACATCATACACAGAAGAAATTGTTATAATATCATATTTTGACCAAAGTATCGTGACACCTATTGTATCGCAATACCATGCCAATATTTACCCCTCCGTATGACAACGCAGACTCAGCAGATGCAAAATAACACTTATGCAATTAGCCTTGAATACAAAAAAGAAGAAAGTGTGTCTCTCAATGGTGCATATCTGTTATAAAAAAGCAGCTGTTCATTGAGTAGTCAGAAATGTTACGTAGTAGTAAGAGTAAAAAGTTCAATGCTATAAAACTATTCCCTAAAAATTAATTTTTTTCAAAAAGTTAGTTAAGTATATGTAACTGAGTAAATGTAACTAGTTACTATCCACCTCTAGTTGCCTCTCTCCAGCAAAGCAATATTTTAGTAACTGGAACATGCTAGAGAGGCTAACCTCTGAATTAGCTTTTCCAACCAGTAGAAAAAAAAACTAGTTAAAAAAACTAGAGAAGAGTGACCAAATTAAACAAATAAATGTCACATTTAGAAACAGACATTAATAATAATGAATAAAAAAATGTTTTTTAAGTATTATTAGAATAACATTTACCTCAATACTGAAACATAATAAATTGATTTGTTAATTAATAAAATCAGGGGCATAGATAGAGATTTATTTGGAAATGGCAGCTTATGACCAATGAGAGCCATTTGCAACACTAATAAAAATCTATCTACACCGATCTTTCCCACTGCATTTCCATGTTTTATGATCAATAATAATCCCCACCCCCACCCCCCACATTACAGCTTCACCTCCAGGGCAAACAGACAGCGATGGGCTTCCAGTCACTGAGATGGAAGGGAGACATCACAACCTCGAAATCTGATGCACGATTTTGAGCCGTAAAATAGAAAATTATTCTGTTTTCTCTTACTTTCCAGCAATTTTAACAGCAGGTTAATTTACAGACCAGATCAAAACTGGAACATATTCAGTTGTTCCCTAAAGAAAAGGATCCATCCATCCATTTTCTGTTACGCTTATCCCTGCTGGGGTAGTGAGGGGTGCTGGTGCCTATCTCCAGCTGTCTACAGGTGAGAGGCGGGTCCACCCTGGACAGGTCACCAGTCCATCGCAGGGCAACACAGAGACAAACAGGACATACAACCATTCACACACACACTAACACCTAAGGAGGATTTAGAGAAGCTAATTAACCTAACAGACATGTTTTTGGGCTGTGGAAGGAAGCCGGAGTACCCGGAGAGAACCCACGCATGCTCAGGAAGAACATGCAAATTCCATGCAGAAACACCCAGGGCCAAGAACCCGGAACCTTGTTGCTGCAAGGCAGCAGTGCTACCCACTGCTTCGCTGAGCAGCCCAAAAGGATTCAAATTCATATAAAGGGTTTTAAGAAGGGTTTGAAAATCTATAAAATATGCTTAAAAGTAGTTTCCTGACAGTGATTGAATGAATTTAGAAAAGCAAACAAAAAACCTAGAAATCAACACTAGTGGGAGTGGACTGAGTGGGTGTTCATGGTGTTGCTTTTGAGTACGGTAGTTCAAATCGAGTAGGTTCTGTTGAGTCATCAGTAGCACGCATTACATGTGGAGGACCTCAAGGCTCCATATTAGGCCCTCTTCTCTTTTCTCTCCATTTATTTCTTCTCAGACCAGTTCTCTGCAAATTTAGTGTTGCCTTTCAGTTTTAGGCTAATGACAGCCGGTAAAAAAGGAAAAGCTCACTTCCTGGATTATAGTGCTGAAGTCAAAGTATGGATATCAGGACAATGATGGTCATATATATTGATGTATTGCTAAGTCAACCCCAATGGCTTTCCTCTGCTATATATATATATACATATATGTATATATATGATCAGTATACATACTGTATAATGATCAGAGCTAAAATTAGCGTGGGCCTGTTTTTTCTTTTAGTAGGAGAGTCATGATAGGTGCATCATCGGGGGGAAAACCTCCACCTTCTATAACTCATCAAAGCCCAATTTTTCAATGACACCCATATTACAGGTGCCTGTAATCCTTTGAATAGAACAGTTTATACAAACACGGGCAAGATCATGAGAGCATATCTAACAAGCTCACCTGGAGTTGATGTCAGTCTGTGGTACCCCTGCTCCTCCCCCACTTCCCCCGCGGGTCTTCTCTAGAGCCAGTTTGGTGAAGATGCCCACCAACACCATGACTGCGACAACACCACATATGATGTAAACAATGAGGTGTGTACGATCCCGGTCCGAATCCCCCTGGCCCTCTGTGATGGTCGCCACTGGCTTCCCGGTGTTGGCCCAGATGGGCGAGTCGTAGTTGGAGCAGATGGTCTGGTCCAGCCTCTGCTGACGGAACTGGCAGCAAAAGCGATAAAAGCATGTGCCGCAGCAGTACAGAAAGACCCCCGCGTTGCAGTTGAATGGTGGGTCCCACTGGCCCATTACATCATAATAACCCTGGCATCGGGTTCCTCCAACTGGTGGGTCATCCTCATCATCACCATCTCCACCACTGGTGGGTGTGGAAAGCCCCGTCTCTGGAGGAGTCACCTGGGTTACGTCCTGATATCTTGGAGATGTCTGGTTGACCACTTTGGTGGGGGTGAGAATGGGGTCGTTCTCCGTGACGGTCGCCAAGGAGAAGGAAGAGTCCTGGGTGAGCGCTGGTTGGCTGACCAGGTAAGAAAGGGAGACGAAGAAGAGAAAAGGGTGTTGGGATGAGAGGCTTGTGGCCGCCATGCTTCTCTGAGAGCTCCTTCCTCCAATGTCCCACCTTCAGGCATTAAACAGGAAGGTGACATTTTAAAGACAGATGGAAGAGAGTTACGATGAAACAAAGGTCACAGACAGGAAAGTGACATTTAGATGCATTGATACAGAAAAATCAAATACATCAAAACAGCTTTGCTTGAGTTTTTATCAATTCAACAAAAAAGACTAAAGTGAGTGACCTCTGGTACCCGCTTTGCCATCTTTAGCTCTTTGCATTCAGGGCTTGTTCATTTTGCATTGTGAATCAGAAATGAAGCAACCCTGTCCTCGCCACAAAGTTGCCGACAAATAGATAGCGTTTATCTAAGTTGCCAGGATAGGACATTAACAGAAAGAATAGAAACCAATTTCTTTGTTTACTGTTGTGATCCTGCAGCAGTAAATGGTTTTAAAACTGACCTAAAAACAAAAATACTGATCCTGATGTGCATATTGATTCTCTAGGCTTATGGAATCAATAAAGAAAAGAGGGCAGCCAATTATTGAAATACCAACGGAAAACTATTTTGCTTATATATATATATGTGTGTGTGTGTGCGTGTGTAAGATGCAGAAAATTACAGCAGCAAATCCTTCATTCTTTATTATTCTTCAAAGTGATTTTTGTTTGTTTTGAAGTAGCTCAAATGCAATAATAATAATAAAACATTTGGAATATTTTCCTACCTTTTCCAGGTTTCTCTCTTTAAGACAAGTTGGTGAAATTCCTTCTCAAAACAAATTCTGTTCAGAATTACCAGCAAAGTTCACTCAGCAGCATTATTCCCTATAGCCCTGCTCATGTGTCCTCCATGGCAGCTGTACACTCATTCTGTGAAATCCAACTCAGAGCGATCCACTCCTGTTATCCTTGTCACTCTTTAGATTCTCTCTTTTCCGTACATGCTGCAGAGTGGGAGTTAAGTCCAAGATTTTTTATTTATTTATTATTTTGGTTCCTTTTAATGACTGAAATCAAAAGAGAGTGGCTGCAGGGAGCTCCGCAACAGTTCGGAAACTAAATGACATCTCCTTTTCTGTTTACCTCTCAGCAGGAGGGGAGGAGGGAGAAAAAGAGAGAGAGGGAGGAAAGGAAGAGTGTGTGTGTCCCTACATCAGAAAGTGAGTGTAGGGGGGGCATTATATCCAGCTGCATCTCCCATCAGAGCCAGAGGAAAAAAGCCTGGAAGGAGGGAGGAAGGAAGGAAGGAAGAAGGAGAAGGGAAAAATAAAAAACGGTGGGGAAAATTAGGATGTTCACTGAATAAAGAGTAATTAGTCTGCACTCTTCCTTGCCTTTTCCTGCAGTATCTTCTGGTGGCTAACATTGACCAAACTAAGGAAAATTGTAAATAATTTAGCTAAAACTAAGAGAGAAGGCTGATTTTGTACAACTATTTAATCCACTGGACAATATTTCATTTTAAATCAAATTAACTGATATAAGTGCTGAGAGAATAAAGGCATGTATACTCTGCATTTATTGAGAAATCTATTCTTTAACTTGAGGTTGTGGGATTTCTCAAGGATCAATTCTTGTTCGTCTTCATTATTTTTCTCTCTTTAGCATCTATCTTTAGAAAACATGGCCTCTCTTTCCAATGCTAAGCAGATGAATGTCAGCTCTACCTGCCACACCAAACGATCCATGTGCCGATCAACCCACTATTAAACTACACTGAAGATGTTAAACGTTTAGTTGCTCTGATTTTTTAAGCTTTGATGAAATCAGTACCGAGGTTATTCCTGTCCAATAGTACAGTAGCAGCCATTAAAAATTTCTTGACTTTCATCGATGGGCCCTTGGCTGGTCCCCTACAATAAATTTTTAAACATCAGTCTTTGTACTTAAATGTTCTTTCTGTCATGATTTATGGACATCAAGATCTAAAGAGAAGCATCATCTCCTGGTCAGACCCTGTAATTCAGTGAAAGGGTGGAGTCAGGGTGAAAAATATGCAAGAGGAGGTCACTCCAGTGGCTGGAGGCTGGAGGGGATTTTGCAGCGAGTTTGAGGGAAGTCGGCTGCCATTCGTTTGACTGGGAACGGCCATTTTGAATGACTGCTGCTGTAGCTATCAATTAAAAAAATAATAATCAAAAAAGCTTTATCAATCCCAAAGGGAAATTAAATGTTGCAGTAATTCATGAGTTATGTTTTTATACAGGTGTTGTAGGTGTTGATAGCTGTAGGCAGGAAGGATCTTCTGTATTGGTCTGTCTCCCACAGGTTCTCTTAATAAAGAAAATAAAAAAATCTTCTGAAGAGGATGCTCATTCTTGTCCTTAATGTTCTTCACTTTTTGAAGAATACATCAATGTGAAAACATCTCCAGAGGTTCTAGAGGAGTTCCTAAAACAGAGCCAGTCCTCTTTAACAGCTGGTTGAGCTTTTTTAAGTCGTTAGGTCTAATACTGTTACCCCAGCAGATGAGGGAGGAAGACATCACTCTCCTCAACAGACTGATAGAAGATCTGCAGCATCTTGCTGCAAACGTTGAAGGACCAAAGATTCCTTAAGAAGTAGACTCAACCCTGTCCCTTCGTGTAGACGGTGTCATGTTGTCCAGATGAACACCAAGGTATTTCTACTCCTCCACCACCTCCACTTCTTCTACCATGATGTTAACAGGATTCTACTTGTTCCTGTTTCTGAAATCTACAATCATCTCCTTGTTTTGTTGACGTTCAAGATGCGATGATTGTTTCCACACCATGCTACACATCGCTTCACCTGCTCTCCGCACTCAGCTTCTGCTCCATCTTTGATGCTCCCAATGACTGTAGAGTCATCCCAGTATTCCTGCAGATGACAGGATTCTGTCTGGTCCTGGAAGTCAGAGGTGAACAGAGGAAAAAGGAATGGAGAGAGTACCGTCCCCTGTGGTGCTCCTGTGCTGATGACTACTTGATCAGACAGCTGAGCCTTCAGTCTAACAAACTGTGGTCTGTCTGTCAGGTAGTCTTTGATCCATGCGGTTGTTGATGCCCTTGAGTCTTCTGAAGTTTCTCACAGTCAGTCAGGTTGATTTCTATTAAATGCACAGAAGAAATCAAAGAACTGATCCTCACAGTGCTGTCTGGGTCTGTTGGGTTTGTTCAAGCAGGTGTATGATGGCATCATCAGCTCCATCTCCACAGTGATAAGCAAACTGCAGGGAGTTCCAATTTTGCATTATCAGCTTTCCACCAACCTTTCCAGCCTGCCACTAGACTTTTCCACCTGCCAGTACTCTGTTCAGCCTGCCACAAGCCTGTACAGACATTATTTTTTGTTCAGCCTGCCACAAGCCTGTACAGACACAATTTTTCAGCCTGCCACTATCAGTCGTCATCTTCCTTTTTCACCTGCCTGTAGCCAATTTAGCCATCAGCTGCCATTTAAAGTCTGCCACCAACCTATTCAGCCCCTCACCATCCTTTTAAGCCATCATCTGTACCTTCAGTATGTCACTTGCCTATTCAATTTGTTAGCAGCCTGTTCATCTATGATCTGCCTTCTCAAGTCTTCCACTACCCTGTTCAGACTGTTCAACTGGCCACCAGCTTGGTCAGCCTGCCACCATCCAGTTTTATGTTAACCTTCAGTTAAGATCTTCATCTTTCAATCAACCTTATAAGAGCAACACTGTGTCCATCTGAATTATTGGGTTCATTGTACTATAAGAACATGAAAAGATCATGCAAAAGCATGGAGCTTGTTGCAAGACAACAGCCCTGCCGACTGCTCCACTGTGAAGCCACCACTACGAATTCATTCAAGCATAAATATGCACATATAAACATATAAAGTAAATTCACATAAGAAGTCAAAAATGGATTGCTAAAAAAAATCACTCTTCATATTTCACAAAGTGTTTCCTAAATCAAATGAGTTTTAATGAATGTCAATTAAAAGCTTTAATTCAGGCAGTGTTTTAGGTCTTGCTTTACATTTCAGGGGTCACCAACCTTTTTAAGGCTGAGGTCTACTTCATGAGTACTGAATTTAAAGGAAGGGGTTCAAATTCTGACGTATGAACTGGAGGGGTCAACATTCATCTAAATTTAATAAATAATAAACAGATATCTAATGGGTCTTTTAATTTCTAATTTTCTTTTAGTTCTTTTGAAATATTTATAAATGCTCTATAAATACTTAAAAAAGAAGAGCAACAGAATCAAATTTAATTTCAGACTTAACCCACAGGTAAGTTGTTCTGTTTTCAGAAGATGTTGAGCCCCTCATGTGGTCCTGGAGGGCCCATGGTGCCTGCAGGCACCGCGTTGGTGACCCCTGCATTAGATAGAGTATATGCTGCCATTTCAGGTTTTACAGTAAATCAAAAGCAGAACTTCTAGCCTTCAATGTCCAAAAGAGTAATTCAGCTCCCTGGAGAAGAGGGTCCGGTTTATTTTTATGGAAAAATATTTTTATTTGTAAACATGCAAACTAATACAAAACACCAACCAGAAAGGAAATGAAAGTGACTGATTGGCAGGAAGTTTCCGCTTCTTACCAAAGTTTAAAAGGGCTTTGCAGGTTTTCTTATCTCTTTAATGCCTCAGTTGTCAATTCCTTCTTATTATTCTATCTCATCTGCTTATACTGTCTTCATCTGAATGTGCACATTTGTGTAAATGAGGGTAACTGCCTGTCCGCCCTGCTGGGGCACAGCATGAGATCAGAGAACAAAGCAATGGTGCTTTTCTGATGTTTGTCGATTTTGTCGAGCTGAAGCAACTCGGCGTTGGAGGCAGGCTGCGGCACAGTCGCTGAATCAACGCTTAGATTTTCTTTTTAGATGCTTGACCAGAATAAACTCTTGTAAATGTACTGTTCACCTTAGGGTGGCAGACTTTGATTTGTTGATATGGCAAATAATGGAGAAATAAGTGAGCTCAAACTTTTTTTTTTCTTTTCTTTTTTTTAACTTTGCCTGCATTAGAATTTTTTTTTTTTTTTTTTTTTTAACTTTGCCTGCATTAGAATTTGATTATCTTCTAGC